GTTCCCTGTGCCTCCGAGCCCATCGGGAAAGAAGGCCTGGCCCAAGAGGGGAGGCCTCATCCAGACAGGGAAACATTCGGGCACCAAGGAGCCTAGTTTCTCCCTGGCAATCCCACGCGTCCGCGCCTGCCCGGCCCGCACAGCAAAAGCTTAGGGAAAGGAAACCACTCTCGACGTCCACGATTGATCCACTTCCCGGCTGTTCCAAAGACATTCTCAAGGGCTTCTGGTGGAGAACCTCAGGCATGGGAAGGAACCCTTCCCGGGTGCAGGCAGGACGGCCGGCCCTCTCTCCCCAGCCCCTGTGCTGTCCAGTGGCTTCTTCTGACTGACGGCACCCTGATGGGTTCTGCGAGGTCCGGGAGAGGTTCGAGGGGTGGTTGACCACGGACACTCATCAGCCCGTTTCCGTGGCCCAGGGAGGACTGGGACCCCAGTCTTCGGAGTCCTGGTCTGACGCTTTATCCACCACTACGCCACCCTGGCCTCAGGGACTAAAGCCGGGATGGGAGCCCAGTGGGGAAAAGAGGGCTAACGTGACGGATCCTGGTGACCCTCCGAGCTTACCGCGGACAGAAGGGTGTAGCACCCGACGCAGGGCTGGCTCCCTCGGAGCGGCGGCCGCCTCCGGGCCTGGTCCTGCGCGGAGAAAAAGGCAGAAGTCAGCGTGTGTGTGTGTGTGTGGCCGTAGCAGAAGCTTCCGCAGCCAACAGAGCTTGTGCTCGCCTGCGGGCGTGCATGCGCGCACATCACGGAATCATTTATTTTTTTCCCTTCCTTTTGAACATTTCTCTATCCGTCTTGGTGATGATTTCTGGGTGGCGTACCTAACTAACAAAAAACAACTGCAGATTTTGTTAAAATCTTTTTTTAAAAAAATATTAATTTTTTTTTTTAAAAAAAGTTAATCTAAACCTAAACATTAAATTGAAGGGTTCAAAACTGTCGACAAGTATTAATGCATACCTATTTCCATTTTAAAGGACAAGTTTAAATGTTTGAGAAGGCTTAGCCAATCAGAAGCTTCTGACCTGTCAAGGAGAGAAAATGCAAGGCTGTGGTCAGGTGAAGCGGCTTTGGGAGGGTATTTCAAACTTGGGGAACCCTCACAGAGAACTCCCCATCTTTCCTAAATGGGGATTGCATTTCTCTTAACGGGGAGCATGGAGGGAAGGATCCCCTCAGTGTCTCCCAACTTTACAGGCAGGCTGATTTATTTATTTATTTATTTATTTATTTATTTATTTATTTATTTATTTATTTATTTATTTATTTATTTATTTATTTATTTATTTA